AGTGCATTGGCACTTTGAGTAACTTTGGGCTAGTTTAGTAGAGTATTAAGCGCATTCTTGGTATTTCTTATTTTACACCAACTAGAGCCAATATGGCTTGTACATCCCCCTTAATCCGGATTTTGAATCTCGAAACTCGAATTTCAAATCTCGTATTTCGAACCTCGAATCTCGAATGAGCCTTTTGATTGGTTAATCTGGATCTTGAATCTCGAAACTCGAATTTCGAATCTCGAATTTTGAATCTCGTATTTTGAAACTTGAATCTCGAATGAGCCTTCTGGGCTTTCGTACATGGGAGATCCTTTTTATTCCATATTTATTACTTCACAATCAATGTTTTACATAGTTTTTGTATATATATAGGACTCCACTTTATTTTACTTCTTGATGACTTTAAACTTTAAGTTTTCTATCATCAACTTCGCTTACTTATGCAGCAATATACCCTCATCACCTGCATACGGTGTGTATATATCTCAGTTGATTCGATACGCAAGAGCATGCTCTACATATGAGCAATTTCAGCGATATAAATTGTTTACAAGCAAGTTGATGAAACAAAAATGTCAGCAGTTTCGTTTAAAGTCATCATTTCGTAAGTTCTATGGTCGATACAATGACCTTGTCAGCAAATACGATTTATCATTGGGTTAAGGTAGTACAAAACACCCCTGGATTCTATTTTTACTAATTTCTTAAAAAATACTGGAGAAAAAAAGAATAATATTACTACATTGACAACAATGAATGACCCCTGTAAGAAATATAACAAGTTTTGGCATGATTGCGTCATATTTTGTGAAAAAATCAGAGAATCCTATATGTTGGTCACTTGGGAGTTTACATTTTGGAATGTGTTTACGCTATCTAAGTGCAATAAACAAGCATGTAACAGTCTGATATAAAATGCAGTGTAGTAGAGGGCTGATATTTGGACACACATATAAGGAGTCTCTGTTCTTTGTTTACTATAAAGGTCAAGGTCATATCAAAAGTCAAAGGTCAAATATTGCGACGTCATCCACTGAATCTTTTATTTTTTTGCCTTTTAAATTTTTTTAATCGCCAAAATATCAGAAACTACCGATTCAATTTTCTTTATTATACCCCCGCTTGAAAAGTAGGGGGAGTATATAGTAATCGGTATTTCCGTCCGTCTGTCCGTCCGTCCGTCTGTTACGCTTTTTCTCTTATCCGCAACTCCTCTTATACTACTGAGTGAAATTTAATGAAACTTTCACAGAATCTTTATTACATATTGCCATTGTGCACCTCCTATTTTACTTTTTTATTTGATACATATTTTAGGTTTCCTATAGCAAAACATGGACATTGCCATTATATGTTTACCTATGACGTCACATATAGAAGCTTCTGGATAACATTTGATAGGACGAGTTATTCCTCTTTACACATTACCGTAAAACAATATATAGCAACACATGGACATTATGGGAGGCGGGGGGTATCATTTAGTGAGCTCATTGCTCACAGTACCTCTAGTTTTTATACATTTTATTCTGGGACCCATTTTAATCATTCTGTTAATTTTTTGCAAAAATTGAGTCATACATTTTTTCTTTAGAAAACTTTAATGTAGGATATTTACATGTGAATTTTCAATTTCGACGCTATGTATGTTCTATTTTTACTTAAAATTTTTCTCAAATGGTCCAGTATCAATATGACTTACTAAGTTAAAGTAACAAAAAGGTTATCTTTATCAAAATTATAACACAAACTTGCAATAGATCAACTGATAATTCTAAAATAAGGCTCATTCTCAAGTCGAGTTTCTGATTTCACAATCTTCTTACAGGGGTCTGATAGGCCATATTTCAGACAATGTGGGCAAAATCTGTGCGGATGAATTTCTTTCATATTATATATTAAGAGAGATTAAGTGTCTTAGAACAAAATATCAAAGTTTCAGAAAAATTGAATTTATTGTGTCCTATCTTAAATGCTGACTGACGTTTTTCATACTAATTGTTAGTCCGTTATTTATACACTGAATGGACATGATGGACGATCGACGGATTTTTCCGTTATTTCCCGATCATGATAAGGAGCACGCGTAGGGTGTGACCCGTCGACAGGAGATACTCACTTCCCCATGGCACCTGATCCCACCTGTAATATTTCGGGGGTCCTTGTTTGCTCTACTCCTATTTTGTATTGTTTTATGGACTTTTGGTCTTGAATATTGTTCGTTATCTCCATATGTTTTCATTTTATAAAATGTTCATGGTTGTGCGCTATTCTACGCTCGCTCGGTTCTTGGAATGCCAAGTAAGGAACACTGTATATTAGGAAAATTTTGTGGAGAAAATGGATGATACACACATGGAATCTTCTGTGGATAACTTTGAATTAACATGTATATAATGTTTTTCTGAATCTTGAGAATATTTGTATATTGAAAATAAAAAGCTAGCGAGCAGAATCCTGTCTACGACACATGTGTTTGTGTTTGTTGATTATTTAGCTCTTAATTTATTATATTCGAACGAACAAAGTGGAGAAGAATATAAGTACTATTATCAATATGTGATGTGCTTAAACAGTGCTTTTCTCACTGTTAGCTGGTGTGCATTTATCTTTATGTGAAGACATGCGTTACAGTGACCTGGTAACTTGTATCTCCGTTCAGTCTATAGCCTTCCCGTTCCTGTTTTATAAACAGCCTAAATACGCAGGGGTTAGAAATTAGGTACAGTGATAAAAAGACGTATCATAATCATAAAAACAGATCAAAATAACATCCTTTGTCAACTAATTTCATAACAAGCTGAGACACCCATGGGTTATTGTAGGTTCATTCACATTTCATTACTACCTTTAAACAGCTGTTTAATACCTGTCCACAGGTAGGAGTCACGTGAATACAGGTGAGGACATTCAATGTTTGCAAACATTATTAAATTTATCTGAGTTTAAGAGAGTTTAAATGGTTAGATTTATTACCTGCGTGGAGAAAACGTGAGTCGTGGTCTTTTTCGTAACAGATTTTGTTTATATCGGAACAGCTGATTTTTTTTACGGAAAAAGTTAATGCATACATTTCAATGAGGAGGATATCTTAATATTACCATATACAGGTAAATCGATGCAATTTAATTTTCATTTGTGGTACGTAATCTAGTACACCTCATAGATTAAATGTACTTTTAACCCAGACGTGCTCAAAAATGAATTTAGTACCAAACTGTTCATTTCGAAAGCAGGCTAGGAAAGTAGGGGAGTGGGTGGGTGGGAGGGAGCCGGGGGTATTTTTACCGTCGATGAAAGGGGAGCTACTAGGTTAAATTTGTCTTAAAATTTCTTAATTTTATCAGAAAACGTAATGGTTTGAAATACAATTTAAGAAGACATAACTGAAGACGCGAAAACGCTATTTTGTTGGTTGCTTGTCATATAAGTTTCCTAAATATTGAAATCTAAAGCATTGGAAATCCAGAGGCTTCGAATTCCAGGCAGGCATTCCCCTCCCCCATTTGCTCTGCAGAGTTTTGTGGGCATACAACGTGTGGATTCGTGCAAAATCAAGGATGACTTAATTGTAGTAAATAGCTCACCTGACCAATGTGATCGAATTATGAAATATTTATAAGGTTTGCACGGTGAAATTAAGTTTGATGTAGTTAATATAATGTGTAGTCATAAACAACTAAGACTTGTCCTCTGTTTGTACAGTTTTACTTTAAATGTTGCCAATTTAACATTTTTATAAAAAATCAAAACAGACTTTGATCATAAACTTATTAATGTTTCTTTCCTTACTTTGAATTTATCCGCCATTTTGACATTCGAAATTCTCTGAAACTATCATGATACTAGATAAAATCTCGCGCAAGCGCAGAAAATTTTATTTATTGTTACCACTACCGACAGAAAGAATATTGTAGTTTCTACTGACAGTCTCATAATATGAGTGTAAAGATTTGAATCATCCGCCCCTTTTTATTTTGCATCATTTAATACCAATAAACGTATTCTATTGTTATAAACCGTGTCCATATTACAACATTATTTCAATGATACAAAATTCTCTCACAGAAAATTAACAGATAACATGCTGACCCCCACCCCCTCACCTTTTTTTTTAAAAAATGGCGGAATTGTTATAAAGTAAAGTGGATACTTAAATCAATAATGTCCGAGTGACATCACCCTTTAAAATATCATATAATTGGCATTATAAAATTCTAAAGATATAAAAGTATATCATGTAATATACTTGGAGTTCTCTATATGCATACTTTATATCTTTTCTTGCCAAAATTCACGGCAGTATCGAATAGTTAGGGCGTTTGTGTCTACTACAGAGATCTAATACCGGTATATCTTTCAAATATTTTCTCAAATACATATATCTTAAAGCTGCAGATCTGTAGCTCGCTGGGCTGACAATAAAAAAAAAATGGAATGGATGACTGATCTGTCAACAGACATGTATTTACTGTAAACCAACTTTTATTCGCGTGCGAGAAATTTTCACGAAGTTCGCGAGAGTGTGGTAATCGCGAATATTTCTCGCCGCGAACAAGTCCTTAAAGTGTCTTTGTCTATTAACAACAGATCAAAAAAGGCTTGATCGCGAAAATTAATCGTCGCGAACAAGTTTAATCTCGGTAAATAGCGAAATAAAGTCGTCGCGAATAAAAATTGGTTTACAGTATGTTAATGTATTTGGAGAGCTGCATGCAGTTCTGCTGCTTAGACAGCTTCCATTTATCGAATGAACTTCTGATGTATATTTTTTTGTCTTCTCTCCTAAGCGGATAATTAAAGACTCATAAAAAATCAACCCTCTTCCCACCTTGATCTTCCTTAAGATTATAGTACGTGTGAACTTCAGGAAAGAGATCCTTTTTCATCGAATAGAAGACTGTAGCCGCGTGTCTTTAAAGGGCGTTGAAACACTAATTTTCAGAAATACTTAAAGCTGACATGAACTCTTAAAAAGGCATCATTTTTCATCTTTGTACGACTTACTACATTCCTGTACGCCTTTGTCCGCCATATTTCTTCGATTCCGCCATATTTAATCGAACATTTTTGGCCACCTGTACCTGCTATATATAGCCTTTTACAATTGTTTCACTTGAGTGATTTTCTATCCTGGCTGTCGACATGTGCACATCTCCGATAGCATAGTTTTTAGAAGTCAAAAAACTGACCAACACATGTTTGAAAAGTAAAAATTCAACAAAAACTAGAACTATACCGAGAATAAAATTATTTTTGAATGCATTTGCTGCAATATAGAAAATACACTTACACGGAATACATTCAAGTAGAGCAAAAATTCCATGCAGGTCAGTCGAGAAAACGCGTCAAACGCAGTGATAGAAATATTTACCTGAGTACTGCTATCGTTACAGGGATGTGCACATGTCGAAAGAATTATCCTATTTTACTTTTATTGAAAAATGCATCTCAGAAATCATGTAATCCATTGCTAACTCAACAGTAAAAACTGCTTGGACACACGTGGTCCATGCCGATCATTTTATTTGGTCAGGGAAAATATCAAAGGTTGAAAGCGCCGTGGAGTTGACTGAAGAAAATGCAAATATTTTTTTTTTTAAAGAATAAACATTACTCTTGTCTGTAAATGGTGTAAATAAAATTTTTGAAAACATGGTTTAACTTCATCAAATTTATGATAAAGCATGCATTATTACGAATCATTCACCTTTTGAGGATATGAAGATATTTTCCTGTGAAAGGGGGGGGGGGGGGTAATAAAACATGCATAACATTCTCATAAAAATATTTTAAGAAAAAAGTCTGAAACAGATCGGATTTCTTTATGATCAAATATAATCAAATAGATACTGTGTATTGGCTTTATTAGACCTAATATAATTTGATTTAAAGTTGTTTATAATTTTATGCACAATGAAAGAAAAAGTGAGCAAATTCACATACCCCACGTTCCCACAAAAGTCGAAGTGCTGAAATTCACAGAAGAAATAAAGGAATCGTAATTTCCTTGTAATATGCCCATATATACACATTGTGTCCTAAATATCTGCAAAGTTTGACGAAATTGTGTGCAGCGGTTTATGAGGAATTGCCCTGACAAACTGCTCATCTTTATATTCAAGATATCGCCAAAATCTAAATGTAAAAGTGCGGAAATTCCCGAAAAAATAAAGATTTCGGAATTTCCTGGTAATATGCAAATACAGACACATTGACTCCTTTAAATATCTCGAAAGTTCGACAAAATTCTGTGCATTAGTTTATAAGAAGTTGCGCTGACCAAAAAAAAAGGGCTGACTGATGGGTCCAAAACATTATACCTCACGCAACTTGTTGCGAGGGGTATAATAAACGAGTTTGATTCTGTGGTACAATGATAATGAAAATAGAATTTAATGTGAATTAAATTTCTGGACATAAATAATTAATGATTACGTCTAGAAAAAGCAGATAAAATGAGAGAGGAAACCCCCCGCGAGGATTTCCGCATTCTTCCTACAATTACCTTTATAAAAATTCCATTGTCTTTTGTCCAGGTTCAGCATATACATGTAAGTGTCGGAACCGGGGGGTGGCTTTTGTACAAATATATACTTAGTATAGACATTGAATATTGCTGCGTAGTCCCCTCCCCCTCCCCGGGGGTATCATTTAGTGAGCTCATTGCTCACAATACTTCTAGTTTCTCTTTCAATTTGGCCGTTTGGGTTAACTTCTCGTCCAAATTAAAATTATTATTCAATTTATGAAGTTACGACATCCCCCCTGAAAAAAAATCCTTGATCTGTCCTAAAGCTTAATAAATTGACAGCACAAAGTGCGTAGGATCTTATACCTATTATTGCCCTAAGAGATGACTACAGAGTGAGAGAGAGAGAGGGAGAGAAAGAAAGAAAGAGAGTTCAATATACAAAAGAGTAAATAAAAATTATCCGTATTCAACCAGTGTCAAGACTCCCTACCCTAGCTTTTACAATTATCTCTCAAATACTCCTACAGAAATTATTTTTAAATATAAAAAAATAGCTAGACTATCAGGCAGGGATACTGAAATCTAGAAAGTCTCTCTTTAACACCATAATTATTAAACATTTATACATACCTCAAAATGCACTTACTTTGTGGTCGGAGTGACACATTTAAAAAAAAATTTCAAAATTGAATTCGGCAGAGATGTCTGTCTTCCAAGAATATTAAGATTACGGTCATGTCAATTATTTTTGCCCCCCCCCCCCCCCCCCCCCCCCCGCCTAAAAAATCAAATGCCTAAATGTCAATCTGAACAGGGGATGGCATTTCTTCGTGTGTTTGTGTGTTAAAGAACGTATAGATCTATGTACACATAAAAAATTGTATTCTGGTTAATTGCTTTTAAGATTTGAAGTAAATAATTACCGTACATCAAATTACTTGGTTGAGATTTGAGATTAGTACTATAATAATCAGTTATAATTGACAAATGAATTTTGCGACGCAAACCAACTGCAGACTATATACATGACTTTGTATAGAATGTATATTAGAACTACATGTAGATAGACAATTCACAATTATAGCTTATGAACAGCAGTTATAATACCCCCCCCCCTTCAGCCGAGCAAATACCAAATAACTTCTCTTTCCACTTGTGATATTTTCCCTAACCAAAATCTGATCAGCACGGACTTGGTGTATCGTCGTGCTAGTGTGTACGGAGTAATGACAGTGTGTTTACTATTGAGCTTTACGGAGTTTATTTCTTTTTTGTGATGCATATTTCAATAAATGGAATTCAGGGTGTATATCACTTGACTTGTGCACATCTTCGAACCGATGCAGTAACCTCATTACCAGGTATGGGTACGTTTACAGCGTTCGAGGCTTTTCTCGATATGCACCAATTGCATAGGGGCTGCAAATCAAAGACGTAGGTTGTTTTGTGCCATTCAAATGATAATAATTTTAAAATGTGTTTGCAGATTTACTGCTTTTTATTTCAAGTTTATTCTGCATAAATTGGCGCACTGTAAAAATACGTACTCGTGCATCTAAATTTCTCACCAAACTTGCATTTTTTCTTTTGATTCAAATCAACAGTTATTCAGAAATATGATCATTACTTTGTTTATTGTGGTTTTGAAATGTCTTGATCTCCTTATGTGTTCCCATATATGCTTTACCATCGGAGATGTGCACAAGTCGATACCCAAACCAAAAAATCATTCAACTGTAACGAGCGCATTGGGGTATACATCGTTACAATGAGACAAGGTATCTGAAAGAAATATGGCGGAATACGGCTATCGTTGGTATGAAACAAGTCGTACATAGATGAAAATGTTGCGTTTTTAAGAATTCATGTCAGCTTTAAGGAATGAAGCTTATTTCAACTTATGTTATCCGATATAACATAACTTGGGGCAGTTTACGCTTTATAAACCGCGAAGCGGTTTATAAATAAGCGTAAACTGCCCCAAGTTTTGTTATATCAGATAACATAAGTTGAAATAAGCTTCATTTCTTATAATTTAATTTCAAGGTAGACAATGAGACAATATTTCCTCCAGAAAAAGGCTTCAAAGTGAGCATTATTTTAAAAGTAACGTCAAGCGGAGTGATACGTTTTTGACGTAACTCATTGTGACGAAGGCAAGTTATGTTATACGAAATGGAAAAAACGTTTAACCAATCAAATGACGCGTTACAACTGAAATTAAATTATATGTATATAGTTATGCTAACTTATAAAATTTTTTTTTATCAATATCACCTCTTTCTATTTATTTTAGTACTTTGTTGCCGTTGCGATGTCTACAGATACTGATGAGCAGTGCGGGGTGGGCTGTTTCAGACCCACCTTCCTGCAGCGCTGCGCGAGGGTCGGGGTTTTTGTAGCCCTCTACAGCCCTGCCTCTCTCTGTACCTCAGCCATCTCTGTCTACATGTCTTCTCAAATCACCACCCTGGAGAAGCAGTTCGGCTTCACCAGCACACAAAGCGGCTTCCTCATGAGCTGTAACGACATCGGGTTTCTTCTGACGACGATCTTCGTCGCCCACCTTGCTAGAACAGTCCACATTCCTAGATCTCTTTTCATTTCCACCTTTTTATTCGGGATATCGGGGATCTTCTGTTCCCTGGCCTACTTCCTGGCACCTGACAATCAGGAAGAACAAACTATTGCTTCTTCCAATTCCTCCTCCGAGAAGACTGCTTTGTTTCAAAGTTTTCTCCATCAATTGTGCTCTCAGAGGAACAACACACCCTCAGAAAGCTGTGATCCCAAAATGGTTAAGATTGGAGCGCCGACAGAATTCACTACAGTGGCTATTGTTATTATTGCCGTGGGGATGATAGTGCAGGGGTTCGGGAAGGCCCCAAGACAGCCCTATATCATCACTTACATAGACGACAATGTACCCAAACGGAAGACCGCCTGTTTCATAGGTAAAGAGATTGTTATTACTCTGGTTTGTGTAAGACAAAATTTTCCAGACTTTCTATATCACTAATTCGTGGTCATTATATAAAAATGCTACATGATATGATTTTGAAAATGTTTAGATAAATAGATTCTAGTACTTCTGGCTCTAAGTGGATTTTATTTGCTCAATTTTTTTTTTTCTACAAGGGTTTTTTTTTTTAAGTACCAGTCCACAAAAAAATCAGACAAAGGGTGATATATGAGGGTTCTCAGAATTTGATGATTTTCCACTCATAGAAATATTTTGAAGTATGAACAATGTATGTAAAATGAAAAATGTTTTGAGTCATGGTAACCATGAAAACCCGACCAAAGAAATTTCCTTAGCAACCGGCGGATTTTTCAGTGTTGAAGGACAAAAAATCACCTATATTTGAGGCTTAAAATAACACATAAATACCATGAGAATTATTCTTACTTATGGGTGTAATAAAGATACACATTTATTGTGTTCTAATAATGTAATAAAAAATATTTAGGTCTTAAGTCAGTTCTGTGGTAGACATTGGAAGGTACACATGTTTTACAAGTTTTGCTGATTCAGCATTTTTCGTGATTTTGGCAATATTCAAGGCCAAATTTTAAAAATGGCCAGATTAATACAGTTGTTGCAAGTATCTCACATAAAAGCAGAGGTATTTCTCTTTTAGAATTTGAAGTCAAATCCATGGGCTCTTTTGAAAATCGAATCTGTTGCCTAGCAACAAAAATGGGCTTTTTGATGCATAAAATGAGAAACAATGTAAAAAGTTTACGGAAAAATCAAATGAACGGTTATTTATAATAAACGAGATACAAATTTTAAAATAGTATAATTAAATTCGGTCTCCCTAGCACATTATTGAATATTGCATAATTCTTTATCTCCATAGCAACGGCATGTTCTCCATAGCAACAAGGCAAAGAAAGGTAATTTTGGCGTGTATTCGTGTAATCTTATTAAGGCTTATTCAAAATAAGTCAGAAAAATCCGGTTGAGCAAAATTGACAATGAAATGTTGGTTTTATTATTATTGTTTTTTTTTGGGTAATTAATCAACCCATATGGCAAGGATTCCGTGTACATGACAACCAAAGTTCCTATGTCTCCTGTAAAACAGATATGACTTTGGGATTGTATTGTTTGTCATGGAATTGGATATTCAAGTAATATGCTGATAATTGCATGGTGATAGTTCGGAAAGACTTTAAAATGGTGTATCAAGTTATTGAATATTGTTCAATGACTTATTTCCTTAGCAACAACACCACTCCCCTAGCAACGATACAAAGAAAGTTTGACGCATATTCATGTTACCTGTAGATCTTTATCTAAATCACGTCATGAAGACAAAAATGATGTTGAAATGTTTGTTTTTCGAAAGTATTTTTAAACTCATGTAATCCATAACAACTATTTCTAGCACATAGCAAACAATGTTACATTTTTAGTATGGGATACTCTGTAGTCGTTATTCATAATATATTGAAAGATAGGCACTCGTCACAGATTTCTCAGAAAGTATTACAAAGTATAAAATTAATTCCTCGTGAAAATAAATAGATAAACAAAATGAATAACGTCACTATGGAAACATTTCCAATGATATTTCCAATTGAATAGGAAGATCAGGTTTTAATTATTCTATTGATACTTGTCATAGATTGGAGAGTTTTTTTTCCAAACGAAAAGAACTGTTCGCTGTAGCTCAAAGGTAGCACCTACTGCGTCCCACAGTGGGATTCGAACCCGCGACGTAAGGATCAGCTCTTTACTTCGTGACTCTAGTGAAGACACTCTAACCTCTGCTCCATGAGGGCGACGCGGCACATTAAAATAAATCAAAATAAGAAAAGTCGCATCGCAGTCAGTTACGGTTATTTACGTAAAATTGAAGTTTACACCATTTGAAAGAAATATTGCAAGATGATACAAATGAATTTAAAACATGGCTAGTCACACAAGTAGAAACTTTATTTTTGTATGTTGTTTGGTGAGATTTGCATTTATGTATAGTGCAAACATATTTCAAAAATTATGCAAACAATGGTCAGAGGGTAATCTTCATGTATCCGGTTAGTTCATATCTTAAAATGGAAATATACAAAAGCAAAACAACTGACATCGAACTCATACATGTAACACGGGGCCCATGGGCCACATCGCTCACCTGAGCACTGTGGCTAGGAAAAATCAATTCAGTAAATGCCTAAGTAGTCCCGTTCATAAAAGAGGGGGGATGATTTGAACAAACTTGAATTTATGCATACTTAAATCTACACTAACTAAGGGTGCTTACATATTTTTTGACTAACTGTGGCTTTATTCCAAATAAGTTATGTACTTTTGTGGTCCCACCCAATCCTGGGGGGTCATGATTTTAACAAATCTTTATCTAAACTACCTGAGGATGCTAACATTTGAACAAGACTAATCAAGATTTTTATATATTTTTCCTATATATTCCTATGTAAAACTTTGATCATCCATTGTGGCTGTACCACTGGGGGTCATGATTTAAACAAACTTGAATCTACACTACCTGAGGATGCTTCCATATAAACATGACCATTCATGGCTTTGCTGTTATTAAGAAGATTTTTCCTATATATTCCTATGTAAAACGTTGGACGTCCATTGTGGCCCCACCCTTCCACCTGGGGTCATGACTTGAATAAACTTGAATGTACACTACCTAAGGATGCTTCTACATAAGTGTCATCTTTCCTGGCCCAAAGTTTTTACATTGATACCAGTAATTTATACTGATATGGTGGCAAGAAGTATAAAATTCAAGTCCACCCCCCTCAGAAGTACCTTTCAGAAGTACGTTTTTCCATAATAAAGATATGTATCAAACACGAATTATGAATTCTTTCTTCCAGTGACCTTGAATTCCCCAAATAACCTTGTGTCAAGGTCATGACACACCCTTGGGTCATGGGCAATCTTTGAGTGAAATGAGAACCTACCAAGTTTATCCATAAGAAAGATATGGACCGGACACGAATTATGAAATTTTTCTTCCAGTGACCTTGAACTTCCCCAAATGACCTTGGGTCAAGGTCATGACACAACCTTGGGTCATTGGCAATCTTTGTGTGAAATGAGAACCTACCAAGTTTATCCATAAGAAAGATATGGACCGGACACGAATTATGAAATTTTTCTTCTAGTGACCTTGAACTTCCCCAAATGACCTTAGGTCAAGGTCATGACACACTCTTGGGTCATGGGCAATCTTTGTGTGAAATGAGAACCTACCAAGTTTATCCATAAGAAAGATATGGACCGGACACGAATTATGAAATTTTTCTTCCAGTGACCTTGAACTTCCCCAAATGACCTTGGGTCAAGGTCATGACACACTCTTGGGTCATGGGCAATCTTTGTGTGAAATGAGAACCTACCAAGTTTATCCAAAAGATAGATATGGATAGAACACGAATTATGAAATTTTTCTTCCAGTGACCTTGAACTTCCCCAAATGACCTTGGGTCAAGGTCATGACACACTCTTGGGTCATGGGCAATCTTTGTGTGAAATGAGAACCTACCAAGTTTATCCATAAGAAAGATATGGACCGGACACGAATTATGAAATTTTTCTTCTAGTGACCTTGAACTTCCCCAAATGACCTTAGGTCAAGGTCATGACACACTCTTGGGTCATGGGCAATCTTTGTGTGAAATGAGAACCTACCAAGTTTATCCATAAGAAAGATATGGACCGGACACGAATTATGAAATTTTTCTTCCAGTGACCTTGAACTTCCCCAAATGACCTTGGGTCAAGGTCATGACACACTCTTGGGTCATGGGCAATCTTTGTGTGAAATGAGAACCTACCAAGTTTATTCAAAAGAAAGATATGGACTGGACACGAATTATGAATTTTTTCTTCCAGTGACCTTGAACTTCCCCAAATGACCTTGGGTCAAGATCATGACACACCCTTGGGTCATACGCAATCTTTGTGTGAAATGAGAACCTACCAAGTTTATCCATAAAAGATATGTATCAAACATGAATTATGAAATTTTTTCTTCCAGTGACCTTGAACTTCCCCAAATGACCTTGGGTCAAGGTCATGACACACCCTTGGGTCATGGGCAATCTTTGTGTGAAATGAGAACCTACCAAGTTTTTTCCGTAAGAACGATATGGACCGGACACGAATTATGAAATTTTTTTTCTAGTGACCTTGAACATCCCCAAATGACCTTAGGTCAGGTCATCACACACCCTTAGGTCATAAGCAATCTTAGTGTGGAGTAGTAGATTCTAATGTCCCTCTGTAAGAAAGATATGGACCGGACACGATTGCACAGACAGACGGACAGCTAGACAGACAGACAGACGGACAAGGTGATTCCTATATACCCCCCCCCCACCCAAACTTTGTTTGCGGGGGGGATATAAAAATAAAAACATATCTATAATTCAATACATACTTATACAAGTAGCAATAATACTTATATTAATATCTTTCCCTGTGCTACATATACAGGCGTAATTGTGATGTCTTCGTATTAAAAACATTCTACTGTCTTTTGAGAATTCCTTCAACGATGATTGTTTTTTTCCTATGGCCGTGTAAAAAGCGGGGGGGGGGGGAGAGAGAGAGGAGGCTATTATGCCGATACTTAGCTATAGAATACTATTGAAAACTTCACTACAATATACATGTGCCCCCTCAATAATAATAATATCTGACGATCTTCTATGTTTTGGTTTGTTTGCCAAGGAATTTTCGGTTGTTGATAGTGCCCAAACTGAAAATATATGGTTGTAACCCCCACCCCACCCCCGAAATTGCTTAATAAGGGTCTGTATTTACCAGAAGTGGTTTCAGTATGCCTTTTAATTTCCATACTTGCATATCTGAGTTCAAACTTAAATCTGCACTTTAAAAGGGAGATGTGCCTCTGAGAATTTCAGGTCACCTGAGTCTTTCAGGTGACCTATTGCTATCTCTGTTCGTTCGTCGTCGTACGTCAGTCGGCGGTCGTAAACGTTTGAACATTTTTAGCTTCTTCTCTGGAACCA